TGTGCAATTGCAGCGAGTGTAGCCTTGACCCCCAGTCAATGATTGTGAAGATGCGATCATTTGTAGTGTTTTTCCTCAGTGTCAACTGACTACAATAAGAGCAGTTTTTCGTGAAGAATTGAAAACTCACTTCTAGCATACAGTTCTTTTAGAACACCATGTTCCGTTCCTAATTTGTAGAAACCGCCCTCGACGCTCATGACAACTGCAATCACGCTTCGGGGATCATCGTGACCTCTGTCAACATCTGGAAAACGGATGCGTACATTGCCACCCACTCCACCATCTTTAAATTTTGTATTTGATGTTTTAAGCATCTTAGCTCCTTGAGTTTGCAAGCCAGTATGAGCTGCTGATCTGTGTTCCATGATGTCTTGTTTGTTGTGACACAATCTGCAGGTAATGGTCCCTCCGTACCCTTCGTCTGCTTCATTGGGTATTCCACAAATAGCATGGACATCGTTGCCACAGGATCCAAAAGAATGAGCTGCACTACAATGTTTTTCACAAACTATATAGAATCCACGGCAGTAGATGTGTTAGCTGAGGATGTCGTTGCATTTATGGCAACCTCCATTTCTTGTTCCATATTCTCAAGATCTTCCTCAGTAACTATTTTATCGAGAACCCATATATGGAAACTAACACGGATTTACATTTTTTTCTTTTGACAGCCATCTGCTATGTCTGTCTCATGGTCTGACGGCCTTTTTGATCCATGTCACCTTGCATATAGAATGCTATACAAACAAGAGCTAAACAATACGTTACTCTCAATGAAAACGCACCCAGAATAATGATCGAAACTTAGTCTAGATAGAACATTGGCCAGGACATCCCGGCCAGTGCACGCATTGGCCGGCCAATGTACAAAATACGCTGTCAAGTTTAAGCGCTTCGGACTTTGGCCAGTACGTCCCGGCCAGTGCGCCCATTGGCCGGCCAATGTACGAAATACGATCTTAGTGCTAAGTTCTTCGGGCTTTGGCCAGAAGAGCCGGCCAATGCGCGGATTGGCCGGCCAATCCGCGCTTTGGCCGCACTTCGGGCTTTGACCGTAACATATATATATATATATATATATATATATATATATATATATATATATATATATATATATATATATATATATATATATATACATATTGCATCTCCATTATCAAATTATAAAAAAAAAATCATTATAAAACAAAACAAAGTGTTTGTCATAAATTAGATTTTTATTTCTTGACTGAAATAGACCTGTTCAGTAGTTGTCTTTATCAAGGTATATAACTTCTCATCGCCAGTGGATAATTTTAGTTGTAGCCTCCCTTTACGTTATACTAAACTCCAATGAGTATTATTTTAATATACGTCAATTGTTATGCATGTGATTGCGACACGTTGATTACCAAGAGCATATGATGTCATCGAGCTGAGGGTGGGGGGGGTGGTATCCACAAAGGGCGCTGGCCTTAATGTTTGGGCTTAAAAAAAGTAGGAACAAATTTAAAACAAATTACAACCTTTAGTATTGAATGATGCATGGTAAAAGTTTAGAAAATATAAGGATACCAGGATTCATTCGCTGATTTAACTTTAAATTAATCTACCTTGATTGTGTAACAGTACAATAATACGCTTTCCAGTCAGTGACTGGTAAAAACCGCTCGCAGTGTTTACAAAGATTAAAGGGGGTGGGGGGTTGGGGTGGGGGCGTACATTAACGCATAATGTACAAGCTCTCCAGCCAGTGTTATTGAGAAATGGCTATTGTCTTTGTTTTTTACTAATTAATTTCTCTCAACTTCAGCGTGAGAGATAAATTACTTTTGTGGGTCTATTGTATGTTAGAGAAATTAATGTCAGAGATCCTTGTATCGCTATCGGACTAGTTACCATAGGGTCGGGGTCGATAGAGTGTCCTGTTGAAACGTTAAGAAAACTATAACTGCACTTCATAGATTTAAAATTAAATATTACGATTTTTAGTATACAATTGTACCTAAAAGAATTCAGTTATTGATTGTTGGTTTCGTAAAAATCTTCTGATACTACATTTTATTAATGAACTGAAAAACAGAAAATATAAAAACTTGCTTTCCTTAAAAAAAAACACAGGCCGCAATAATATGTAAGAGATCTCATGAGCTACCCAAGTTTTTTTTATGAAAAACAAGTTTGTTTAATTACACGATTTTATTTATTTTGCAACGTCCGTTTGTTTACTTGTTTGTTTGTGTTAGGATTTGTAGCAAATCGTGTATCTCAAATGTTAGCAACTTCTAATGCAACGATTTCGTTAAAACATTCCATAAACGTTCCTCTGGAAACAATGGTTTAGTAATTAAAAATTAATTTAACAAAAGTGGATATACTTGCTAGACCTGGTCGCCTTATCACAGTGGTTATGTATGTAATAATGTTTTTTTATAATCATCTGAAAACAGCGTTTCCAACTGTTATCGTGTTAAATGAAACAAACAAAGCAGCCCGAGCATTAAAATAAGATATGTATATTTACATTCTACATTCTACACTCATAGCCTAGTCCTTGAGATATTTACTATTTACTCTCACATGAGAAGCTCAAGGCGAAATCGTAAACACATATTAGTGCGTCCTACACTTAGATCTTTAAAGTAGGCCAAGGAACGACTTGCGCGTACATAATTGTGCTATGACGCGTGAGTTAATCACTATACGCTCAATTAAACCGTCTAGACATGTGGGGAAGTAAACAACTTCATAAATCTATAATAATATCAATGTCAACATTTTTTTCTGTCGTCAATGGTACATACTATATTTCTCAATTTATGTTCAAACCATGCAATTTGTTTATCTTCTATTATTCGACTACAACCAATGTGTATAGGAATGAAAGTACTGAACGATGCACTTTGACTAATTAATTATTTTTTGTGTGTAAGGATAAGATAATGTGAAAAAAGTGCATGAATTTTCCTTAACGTTAGAAAGACTTTCTTCATACTGTAAATTATGCAATAATTGTTTAAATACCATTACATATTTAATATGTTTTTTTTTTAAAAATGCAACATTTTCTAGAATATTTATAAAATCATTATTCACACCGCGAGAAAAGTATGACAAAAAAAGAACTTTACTGCAGGGTCAAAGGTGCAGCTGATATAATCACATGTTTATTTTTGTTTCGTAATATGCCAGCACTCTGGTCGTTTAAGTAGACAGCTGACCTCTTATCTCGATGCTTGAGTTGTTTTCGGTCACTGCATGTAACGTGATGCTGGTGGGAAGCTAAGTTAACACACCCACGCTAATTACTTACGTATAATTTGTTTACTCCATTCATGCAATTCAAGGATTCTCAATATGATGATGAAAAGTATTTTTTAAAATAATTTTTACAAATATCAATTGATTTAAAAAAAAAAAAAAACGTGTTTAACCTTAAATAAAGGTCATATTGGTTAGTTATATTTTGAGCTTTCTGCTCGACCATTTTTTTTTATAATTGTTCATGAAGTTTGTCTAAGCCGTCACAGGTGCGACGTGAATTAGCCTTCTGACTTACTAACCTGTATTAATTGACGTTAGACGTATTAACCAATAATTTATTCAAGTCTAGAGGTGTTGTTAGTTAAATATATAGTCATTACACGAGACACAAAATGTATCAGAATGTCTTTCTAGAAGTCATTCTGGCCAATATATTAATATTTGATACATCAACTATGAGACGATCGAATTTATTCTGTCAATCTTTGATCTCAAGTGACGGCTAGTTGAATTTCTAACCACTAGATACATTTAGATATGTACTTGTGAAAATAAAATTCAACGTTTTGTTTGATTTGCTGTTGTAACTAATTAACTACCACTATTTTTAAGAGGTGGTTACTTTAAACTTTTATAAAATAGACAAACAAGAAGATCTTCAATTTATATGAAAAATTAAATAAAACTTTCTCGAATATTCTTATATAAAACAACAGCGGATGGGAACTCGGGCTATAGACATGATTTTTAATCCATTTTAAACACGTAAAGTTTTAAAAATAGAATAAAATCTCGTAGACAAAAGAATTGCACACCAAGTGAACGTGAAATAAAAAAGTGCATAATAGTGCGCAATATTATTATTACATTAAAAATTTACATTCGTTTTTTTGAGAAATCGGAAGTAGCGTAAATTACTACTTCCGGTCAACGGAAATTACTTAAAATTTAACAGAAGGTAGAGAAATAGATCTTTTACTTACTTGTGAAATTTCGTTTATCTATCTGAAATAATACTCAGGTTATAGGCTTTTGAAAAATTCAAAGTAGAAAAAATACCACTTCCGGTTATCGGAAATCGCTCAAAAGTTGATACGGATCTACGATTTTGATAAGATACTTATATATGAAATTTCATCAAACTAGCTGTAACGGTACTCAAGTTATCGTGTTTACACGCGGACAGACAGACAGACACACAGACACACAGACATACGGACAAAATTGCAAAGCCCAGTGTTTCAGACTGGATTACGCATAAAACCTCATAATTTTGGTAAATCTGGATTGATAATTTTTGCCCGATTAAAATAAGTCCTCTATACTTCGGATGTGATGAAGGACTGAGGTGCAATACGGTGAAAATTGTTAAAATTTCAAGTGATTTTTGTGCACGATTACAATACTTTCTCTATACTTCGTATATACGAGAAAGTAAAAACAAAGGAGTAAGTTAAAAGTATTAATTTGTGCATTATAAAACGCCGACTTTATATTTGTAAACATAAAATAAAATCGTTTATAAAAACCAAAATGAATGACTTATAATTAAATTGTAAAAAATATGAGGTCGGCGCTTCGTATGTAGTTATAAAAGATTATTTGAGATCCGCAACGTGAAACGTTTTAGCAGCGTATGTGTTTTTGGCAGAATTTCTAAGGAAGAAAACGCCTAAGTGTCTTATCAACATATCTTTGACATCTGAAACAAATTTGTGCTATAAATAGACGGCTATATACACACAAGTAAACAGAAGCAGCGGTTTAGAGAAGTCTCCAGTTTGTGTGATACAGAACGACACAACTCTACAATGTCTGCTGTTTTAGTGACGGCTCTGTTGGTTGTAAATATCATGTTTACCTGTGGTGAGTACATTTGTATATACCTGCAACACAAATTAGATGGCGAATGATGCATTTGATAATTTGTATATTTTTAGGTAACAATTGTTTTAGTTTTTTAAGCATGGACAAAATGATTAACTAAGTCTTCATTACTGTTCCATAGCTTGAGTTAGGTTACAACCTCGTGGAACCAATCTCAAAATTTTTAGTCACCTGAATTCAACCTCGTCCAAAAACTAAAATGTATAATCGGTCTAAATATTTTGATTTAAAAAAAATAATTAGTGGCTTTAAGCAAGAAAGTTTTTTTTTAATATATGAGTAACAAACCTAACAGTTCTTTTAAAAGATGTTTTGTTATCTTTTTCGATCAATCGATATCTTCCGATTGTTTTTAAAAGTACTTTTCGACGTCATTGCCTCAAACACACGTCATTATTATATGTTTTGGGTCATATGGTTTATTCATTTATTTGTACTTTTAATGTACTTTGCGACATTATTGGCGCAACACATTTCATTATTGTCTGTTTTATGTTCTGGGTCATTTTATTTGTTTACCCGAAAATCATCAAGCTTCTATTTCTGGATACGATTCGCTAGAATTTGTCCATCCCATAGAAATTTGTAAGGTAGCAGTTGATGGGTTTTGTAGATGTTTATTTTCCCTACGATGCGTTGCGGTTTCTAGCTAATGTTCATCATTTGACCAGTCACCGAAATCGGAACTATTGGAGTTTAAATCTTACCCGTTTTTCAAATTACGCCGTTACCATTGCCGACGTCAATTCTGTACTAGCTTATTACAAAGTATTTCAATTTTAATTCAATTTCTATTAAACAGAAAAAAGGGATATATTTATGACTTTTGAGGCCTGCCGTTTGTTTCACGTTTGAGATATTTCATTTAAAAATTATAATACACAATTATTTTTTTTTAATTGAATTTTTTTGTATACTACTAGCGAACGTTTATACGTAGTTATGTATTAAGTTTTGTTCTATGTAATTTGAGAAGTAGTGTGTTTAAACACATGTGGATAAATAGGCCTACGTGTTTTCAGTTACTGACTTTGTCCTAATAGCTTAAATCAACTAATAAATATTTAATAATAATTTACCAAGATTACAATAATAAAACTTAATGTATAAATTACCATTTTCACGTTTGTAACTTTAATTTTTGTTGCAATTAATACATAGATTTCTTTCAAAAGATTTTTTACGCAAGAATTGAATAGATGTAACTATTCGGAAGTTGTTATGCGTGAAGTGTATTAAAAGAAATTTATTTCATAAATAATTTAATTTCTCCGATTTCTGTGTTTTATTTTATTATTCCATAATAATTTACCACGGATTATAATGCTACAGCTAATTGTATACGATACCATTTTTGTGAAGTTAATTTTTCTTGCAATTATTAAATATACTTCTGTCGGATATTTTACTATGAAGGAATTGCAATAGATGTTATGCAGTAAATGTATTAAATGAAAATCATTTCTTAAATAATTTAATTTGACCAATTTCAGTGATTTATTTCATTACATTCCAGGACTTGACATTTCACTACAAAGAGAATATTATATGGAGGGTAAAGATTTATTTTGTGGCAAGTTACATTGTTTGGAGAACACAAGAGAAGATATTGAAATCTCAGCTTTTGTCAACATGTCAGTCTATAGGATCAGTGAATTAGAGGGGAAGATTGTGTTGGCGTCTGTATCAGAATCAGATTCAAGAGTTCGAGATTATAAAGTAGCTGGATCAAAAGTTGATGGGAAGTTTTCAAAAGTGTTTGGAGAATTGACCGTCTCATTTACAAAACCTTCTGAGTGTTTTAGTACAGTGTTTGGATGTGATGTGTATTACACAAATAGAAGGGGTCTCACTGAGATGAAAGAAAATAAAACCAAACCTGTTGACCAAGACAATCGTAAGCCGCTGATGTTGATGACCATAGAGGCTAAAACTCCAGAGTTTGATAAAACAATTGATAGAATGTCAGAGTTTTTAAAAACTTTTATAGATTGTGATATGTTAAACATAGCTGACTTGAAGATGAATTTACAGTTTTTAACAGACCACAAACATTCTAACCTTAGTAATCATAAAACAGAATTAACAAAGGAGAAGAATGATGAAACTTTAGTTAAACTTACCAATGTCATGGAAAGTAGATTAAATAGCGTGTTATCTGCCCAAGGATCTACAATTCAGAGACTTGAAATGCAAATAAACAACGTTGTTAACAGAATGAACACCTTAAATAACACTAATCAAGAGTTCACGCATTTTAAATACAACTTAACTGAAAGCTTTCTAAAGACAATTCAGCAGATACAAGCAAACAATAACACACTTGAAAAACAAAATAGGTCGGTACAAAATGTAACAAATCTATACATTGTTTTACAAAAACAACTGGAGAAACTGAATAATAGAGCGGTTAATGTATCACTCGATGTTCAAACTTTGTCTAGAAGGTTAAATAAAAGTGAAATTTTAACAAAAACCATGCAAGATTTCAAAAAAGATTTACTAAATTTAACTAACAAAATGTTAAAAAATAGCACAGCAATATTGGAACGTCAAAACATAAGCATTCAACAATTGTGGGAAAGCTACAAAAACCTGTCAGAGACACAGTCAAAGACACAGAAGGATTTAATAACAGCTGTTTCACTGCTAAACAATACGAAAAAGATGAATAACACCATTCAAAACCTGATTACTAAATCAGATCAAATTATCGAATACGTAAGTTAAATATATAATTTGTATAGGATCAAAATCTGCTATGACCCGATTTGAAATTTTCCAGTTCCGCCATAACTGCTCCCAAATAGTTAAAAGTTGAAGTTTTTACTTAGTCATAGTATGTTTTCGAAATAGCCTAACATTAATACCTTTCTTCGTTGCGTCAAAAATAGAAAAACAAAAATGTTTTTAAATATTTTTAATATTCAGATAATATTCTGACAAATGTTAGCAGGTTATTATTTATTTGAAAAGAAAATTGCATAATCAATGCATATTTATAAAAGTATGATTTAGTCGAATGTCTTTAAAATAATAACTTCACCACTTTTCACTTCTGCTGCTGCTGTACTAGAGCGCACATTTACAGAAATTATTTCCTTGTCTCGGCAATGTTTAGAAAGTAAACAATATATTAAATTGGCTATCTTTGTGAAATAGCTTTAACACATACTAACACTAGTTCTGCGAATATATTTATAATTATACATATACAAACACGCATATACATATATACGCGTATGAATACATACATACATTCAGTGGCGTAGCGAGGTCGGGTGTCACCCGGTGCGGCACTTAATGGTGTCACCCCCCCAGAGGCGTAGCGACACTTCCCGGGGACAAACTTTCAAGTTGTCGATTTGCACCCCCCCCCTCAAACTTTCGATTTGCACCCCCCCCCCCCCTCAAGTCTTTCTTTATATATTTTGCAATTTTTTGCCTTCGTGTCACCGCCCTAAATGGTGTCACCCGGTGCGTTCCGCACCCCCCGCCCCTCCCCTCGCTACGCCCCTGCATACATTTGTATGTATATATTCTTCGTAGTTGTGTGGTACGTGGCGATCATGTTGATGTAGCTAATACAATATAATTATTAATAAAGAAAAGAGAAATGTTTAGCTGTCTGAATATATGTATATATTTTAATTTCATTCCGTTTTAACTAATAATAATAGATAAAAAATATTAGAAATAAATTTGATTACAGTTAAAATGTGCCAACATGAACGATCGTGTTTTAGCCGACATGAATAAGGCTGGAGTAGATGTTAGCAGAACATTGTGTGATACCAAGACTGACGGTGGAGGATGGATTGTTATACAGGTTATTTTGTATTTTTTTAGCCATTCACCATTTTTTTCAATATATATTTTCTAACTGTATTGATGAGTTTATTTTATTGAAAACAGATGTATGATACGCAATGATAAACACTTAGCTACACATTAAAGAAAAAAACGTAATAGTTGAACTACATACTTAGTGTTTGTATAATATATTTTATCTATTTGAAACCACGATGACTCTAAAATGTTTTATCTACATCAAAAGACATTAGCTCTAGTTGTTTTATAGTTATTCTTATTGGTTCACCCGAAGTCAGGTGACCAGTCCACAACAGTATTGTTAATATATCTCATCGTTTTGGGGAGAAAAGCTGAATCTATTAGTCTTGTTTATTTTGTTGATCTGAATAAAATTTAGGATATTAAAATAAAATAGACAAAATCAGATTATGTGATAAACTACAATAGTGTTTCGTGCATTTTTTAAGACTATGTATTTGTAAAATATCCTTTCTGTTGTATGTATACAATTGGGGATTTATTTGGTTACGAGTTTGAACAAAAGCAAAAGTCAAAGTTTATCTCGTAATAGTTGTAACTGTCTAATAGACAAAGTATTGGAAATATTTTAGAGAGTTAATGTGAAGAATATTAGGTCTTATAAAGTAATGACTGCTTTGATTTTATGTAAATTGTTTGTTGTATGATATAACTAGAATCATAATATACTTCAAAGATAATTAAGCCTTAGAATAAATCAAATCAACTCACATGACCGTAGTTTTATTATTTCGTAGAGAAGCGTTTTGATTATTTAAAACGTTTAAAATGTTATCTCGTGCGTAATTTGAAGCATAATTGATCTTTGGAATCAATTATATCAACTTGCTATGACTTGATTGTAGCGGTGCCATTTTTCTTACAGAGACGTATCAAAGGTGATGTGAACTTTACAAGAACTTGGAACGATTATAAAAACGGATTTGGTTCAACATCTGGAGACTTTTGGATCGGAAATGACGTCATTTCTCACTTGACAGATTCGGTAGGTAAATAATGGCTACTTAAAAAATATTCATGGTCGAATTATTTACGGCTATTAGGGGCAGATAATTTAGGTTTTAAACTATGTAAAAATAAGGGTAAGTAGTTACAAGCACTGCTTGATCTTGTCATTGTCGTCTGTAAACTATCGTCATGGATGGCTGTACAATACTAGATGTAACAGAAAAAAAAACACAAACAAATCAAAGCTGATGTTCTGGTGGGTGGGGGCATGGTGAGGTCGTTGGGGGGGGGGAGTTCCGAACAGGTTGGTGTGTTAGTGATTGAGTGGGAGGGGATAACGTGTGGTGCTTCAGTGTCGATGTGTATAGTCGTAGCTAAGATTATTTGAGTGCTTAGTACCGACATATTTTGGGTGGGTAGGCGTGAAGCTATAGTTTGGGGATACGGTAGAGTTTTAAAGGTCAACAATTGGATAGCAGTGTTCTCATGAAAGAATTTGAATAGTTTCGTACATGTTAATAAAGGTAAACAAAACCATAAAGATGATTTTCAGGATATTCGACTTCATGTGAAAAGAGGTGGGGTCCAGGGGAAGTGGGGAGATAGACGGATGGGGTCATGGGGTCATGTAAGCTGTGGACCAATGGACAGTAGATATAAAATACTATTAAATTAGTGTTAAAAAATATCATTAAAATGTTTGTTTGAAGGTTATGTAAATATAACCGATACAAAAAAGGAGCAATAGAAACCATATAGATATATAATAAATGGTATGAAAAGAGATGGGACACGAGGGTTGTAGGGGTGGGGTCATGGGGGCACGAGGGTTGTAGGGGTGGGGTCATTGGGGCACGAGGGTTGTGGGGGTGGGGTCATGGGGGAAAAAACATCAGAAAGGGGAAGGATTTGTGCGACACCAGATGCGGTGATGCGTATCTAAGGTGTTGTGATCAAGAAACTCGGAAGCTGAGAGTTAAATATAAATTACCCAACCGTAAACCTTATACATTCAAGGTTGTAATTGAGTTTAGTATTAAGCCGCCGTAAAGGTTGTTAACTGATCGAGAAAAAAAATACCCTCTGCATTGCTACCATAATGTAGGCTACAACTTGACCTAGTTGCATTGCTGAGGTGGAGAAAAAAAAATAAAATACAAGAATTGAACGATGCAGACATATGACAAATATGAGCGGAAGAATGTATTGAATCTGGCTAAAACTGTTCATGGGCTGTTAAAAAAGGGGATAAATAGATGGATGGATAACATAAGAAAAATGTGGAGATACGTAGTGAATGCAAAGTCTTGAAATTCCTGCTATTAATATAGCATACAATTGTTTACAGTTACTAATACATTCATGTTGACAATTTTATTTAATCTTCATATCGATTGGACTGTGCGTCTGGTGTATACATGTCACTGAAATGCACATTTAAATCATCAGTCATGGCATTAAATATTTAAAATACATTTAAATGGACCTAGATTAAGTAACGTGCTATTTTAATGACGAGTGCATAGTAATGTATTTCGTTGAGTTTTTAAATTTTACAAAACAATAGCTAACTAACGAAACAAATACTATACATCTTCACTTTATACGACGAAGGTGCATTTACTGCACATGCAGTATGTTAATAGATGAATAAATTAACATAGCGTGTTTTTATTTTTATTGGGAAAAAAGCTAAGTGTCTTGATCCGTTGATTTCAGAAGTGTTCATTAGATAAACGATACACAGATTAGTTAGATATTTTTAGAAAGGGTAACACAGCTTATATGATAAAGATCGTGGTTATGTAACGAACCTTAAAGAATAGCGTAATGCAGTCAGCAGGATATTTCCCACCGGTCATTTCTTCCTCTACCGGTTTTATCAACAGTTTTATTCCACACCCTCCCGCCTGTCCTCATCTTAATTATATTAACCCGATTACACAACATACATATAGAGATACAAATAAGATACGTTGTAAGATTTAGAATTAGGACTATTGAGCTTATCAAAATAAGAAAAAGTAGGCCTACATAAGTAATATATATTGTAAGGGAGATGGGTTTACTAACTGCGAGCGTGTTACAACGGCAGGCAATGTAAGGAGATTAATGAAAAGGAGGGAGTTCTAGAAAAGCTATACGTAAATTGAATATAAATAGTATTTCGGTTAAGGGAATATATTTTTAAGTTGCAATGTAAGCAGGCAATAGATAATGTAACATTTTCTTTCTCAACAGACGTCTTTTGTCTTAATGATGGGGTAGATACAGGAACTATCAAAATAAGTTTATTCAATTTTTTCTTTTTACAAAGAAAGTTTTCAAGAAGTGTGTGTATTATTGTAATAATGTGTTTTGGAAAATTGTGTATATTGTTTATAGATTTTCCTTACGTTTTTTGATCAATATGTATAATTATCATATAGTATAGAGGGATCAATACCTACACTATTTCAAACACAATGCAATATCTTAATATTTCTAATTTTCTTCTAATATAGGGTTATAATGAACTCAGATTTGACATGAAGTATAAAGGTAATGACTACTACGCTGTGTACAGAGGTTTTAAGGTAGAAAATGAAGCAGCAAAGTATAAGATGAGCTACACGTCATTCAGTGGTGGAAATGTTGAAGACAAGTTTAGTTTTCACAAGGGCATGAAGTTTACAACCATTGACTCTGATAACGATAGGTTGTCAGATGGCAACTGTGCTGTTGGCAGGGGAGCTGGTTGGTGGTATGAATATTGTCACAGGGTTAACGTCAACGGTGAATGGGCGAGTCGTGGTTATGGTAAAGGAATTCATTGGATTAGCATTACAGGCTGGTATGACTCTCTAGACGTTGTTGAGATGAAACTTCGTCAAATGTAAACAACCCGAAAACAATGCTATGGTAAAATAATGGATATACAGTAATCAAATTATTTATATAATCTTCAGGAACATAAGCAACATTACATATATTAGAATAAATAGATGTAAACATTTAACTAAGGCAATATTTTCTTGATGGTGACTATACATAGGAAGTTTAAATTAACGAACATTAAACCAAACATTTAAAAAAATATTTTAAAAACTACAACAGAGTTTGTTTTGCTATTATGATGTAACAAAGCCAAGTATACATTCATCTAGAATTGAAGTTCCTCATAGATTGACTGTGTGTGTGTGTGTGTTAGCCTTTAAAACAGGAAAAAAAACTGACATATTCATAACTAGACTAGTAGTGTAGTTGTCATCTACCACTATATCTTTAATCAGACATTCACTCGGATCGTGTGAAGTTCAACTCTAATAACGTGTGTAATGTTTGCGCAATGTTTTCAATAATATTTTTTCGCATGGTTTTTCGAAAGATATATATGCCATCCAAAATCACATAAAAAAGATAGTAACTGTTAATTTGGGATCTGTAAAGCTTTGTATTATAAATGTGAACATTATGCGGTCATACAGAAGAATAAAAATAGATTATTTAAGTAAATCCTATGTTTAAGTAGTTGATATTTTATCTAGTGTATCTTATATCGAGCATGTTTGTTTATTAAGAAATCTCTAATAACACATATGAGTACATATTAGTACAAAATAAAAGTTTAATTCTGAATATGTTTGTATTACTGAGATTGGAACATTCTTTTATTATCGTTTTCAAGGTATATAACCATACTCTCACAAATCAAGTGGGTAATTTTAATTGTTATCTCCCGTGAACAACTTAGTGTCGTTTGTGTTCCATACCATAGGCTAGAGAAATTTCCAATTACCTAATTTTATAATTGTATTTGTTCAAAATGTTTACATGGACACAATTAATGTAAAGCAATTATATGCATGTATATACATCTTTATTATAACGTCCACTTAATTTTTATATCAAGCCTTACTTTGTGTAGTTTAAGGAATTGTTTGGTTTATATATTTACAAATACATCCGTTTATACAACTTATGGTTAATAAGTTATTTCATTTGCTTTGTTTTTTTTGTTTTTTTTTCTGAACACATAATAAAATCTTCAGAATTATCAAAAATATAGTAACTGTCGTTATTTTTTAATGGGATAAAGGCAATGAGGACCAAGGCTAATTGTAGTGCGTAAATGAGTCCACACAACTACGATAGTACTTTACTCACGTTATGGAATGTATACATTGACCACGTTTTTCCTACTCATGTCGAGATAACAGAAACATGTTAACTCTATATAATTGTACTGATATTAATTTGTGAGCCTAGGATAAATCAATAACTTTATTAACTTAATGTTTCCATTTCTATCATTATTTCGTCATGCAAGATACAACTGCTGATGTGGTCTGTAAATCCTGTAAGCTTGTCAGTTCCTCTAACGTGAATGTTTTCAATACAGGTCAGACCTTCCGACACCAGACCACTCCTGACAAGATTTTACATTAATGTTATTTTTGGTATTAGCTCGAGTATTAGCTTTATTTTTTTATCTCTGGTCCTAGCTAAAAGTTGATTTTAGCATCGTGCTTTATTACTTTTCAGAATTCCCGTTAACAAGTTAGATGGTGTATAATGAGCTTTAAACGGTAATGCTCGTGTGTTAGAATTGAGAGATTAACTTGCATTCTGAAGACGTGTGTATGTGTGTGTTCCCAGAGTATTGCTGCCATCAAAGACATGTGTATGTGTGTGTTCCCAGAGTATTGCTACCATCAAAGACATGTGTATGTGTGTGTTCCCAGAGTATTGCTGCCATCAAAGACATGTGCAGGCTGTCACGGTAGGGGGAGCGTGACTGGGTAAAATGGGATACGAAGGTTCTATTCGGCGTCAAACGTACAGACAAGGGGAGGCTACTGGAGAAATATTTGTGACACAGCGTAAATGTAAACCAATTAAGGCGATAGCTTTCTGGTCGAGATATGTCGAGTTTAGTTGTTCTACTTTAGTTATGAAAGATGTACATATTTACAAATACACACACACTATAAACATGTATATATATATATATATATATATATATATATATATATATATATATATATATATATATATCCATATATATATATATATATACATAATTATATACATACATACATATATACATATATATAAATACAAGCGTTCCCGTTTCCTTAAGACCTGAGAACGATGAAGAATCCGATGATGCAAATTGAGCGTTATATCATGTAGTACATTCGCCTACCTGTGTAGAATACCAAAGTAATTAACCTCTGTTTCTACAATATAAGCTGGACAACGCTGGGCAGCAAATCTTACACAGGTGGGGCCCAATGTATAATATCCTACACATACATTTAAATGTAAACAAATATCATGTCGGTATTTTCCCCTTCAGTTTTTTTAGGCATTTAGGCCAAGGTTGTTGTTGTTTTT